GAGAGAGAGAGAGAGAACTATTATGTTTCATAGACATTATTTTTCAAAATGAGAGATTAGAGACTTTCCACGAATCTTGGATCGATCGTCATTGCGTGATTTTGCGTCATTTCTGAAATCTTTTTTATATGATTATACATGTAGACATGTTGCGTTTTCGTTTTATAATGCACACGAGATAAATGTATGTACATGACGGATAGCTCTTTATAATCTTCCACTCCACAATCCCCGCGCTACAAATCTCTCTGAGCATACATGTACAACGTACACCTGTCCCTGAGCGCAAATGCGCGTGTAGAGAATAATGATTTTTACAGCAACTTCACTATAACATATAAAATTATGTGTTAAAACGGATTACATCGGATCGTACACGTCGGCTTTCGGATATGCGAATAATAATATCGTCTCGCATATAAATCCGTATCATTTGTGTCATCCGACGTAAGCCATTTACATGTGTAAGAAAACTTGCATACGTCTACGTCGCGAAACGATTACCTGTAACCATCATTAACATGTATATTACAATCGTATATGTTGTTGCAACTGCTAGTTTGGTAATCGCGAAATGGTGAAAAGTTATGCGAACAAGTGCCACTTTGCATCAGAAAGGAAAGTTCATTGAATATGCGCCAAAATAGCCCATTTTTTTTCTCTGTCTGGAGGCAAAAAAAAACATTAAAATAAATTATTTCTCTGAACTTTCAATAATCTTATCCTTTTCAATATCAAGGCAAAGGCAGATTTCGAAAATTGTCTATATCTATGTTTTTCTTACTTACTAAATTTTTTTGTAGAAGATATTTAAAAAAGAAAGTCGTATGATGAAACAATAATTTATATAAACGTAATTTACATAAATGTTTGTCTGTATTACTTTTTTCATAAACGCGAGATGGGAAAATGTTTTAGAAAGATCATTTTTGAGAATTTTATTAATATTTTATTAAACACCTTGGTTTATAATTTTTTTTTAGAGTGATGTAAACTAATTGACCAACTTTTTCTGTTTTATATTTTTATACGTCATTGTGTATTATTTTACCATAAATTCAGCAATAACGACCTTTATTCTCCGAAAACTTTTCTGGAGTGTTTATTCCGAGTATTTTGAGTAATAATAAATTTTCAGAATTCCCAGAATATTACATATTTTACATAAAAATCGGGCTCGAAGGATTTAAGATGAAATATTTTCCTATCACTTATCACTTGTAATTTACTTAAGGTTTATTTGACGATAAGGACTCTTAAAGTGGAATTAAATAAGCGTACAATCCAATTAATCACAATCCAGAAATTGGAAGTTATGTCTCACATATACACATCTGCCAGAAATTTATGACGCTCGTGCGCCGTCAATGAACGTGACGAATGCGCATATCAGTAAAAAAAAATTTATGTTTCGATTGTCTCTTTAATCAAATTTTCACTCCGCAACGACACGTTTATCAGGTAAATCGCCACGTTGTATATGTTGTTTCCCTCAACTGCGAATAAATCTCACCGATGACGTTTACGCGCGTCATGTATCGATTGCGAGAGAGACAGGCAATCTCTCCTCTTTGTCTGTTATCAATAACACGTTACAAATCGTGCGCGAAAAGGAGATTACGAACGACGGAAAATGGGAAAGCGAAGGTTCGGAGATTTAAAAAGCTTTTCGATTTGCTCCTTCACGGAGGAGATCAAAAGGAGATTTTCATTGTCATTCTATTATTTGCTCAATCATATCGTCGTTTTATATTGTAATATCGACACGACACGTTCGAGACAGCCGTTAATTATTATAACTTTGTATATTACCCTCTCGTGTAAACTTAAGTTTTTAACTTTACCATCTAAGGCAAACAATTTTCTAGAAGTTTATCGGGGATCGACGAAATCAAATGAACGAGATCGAGATCGCGACCGAGGTGCGAATCGCGGCGCGATCGATCAAACATTTTCCGCGTTTCGTTTCTCGACACCGTTTTAGAGAGAAATTTTCTCCGAACCGAGAAACTACTTTAGGGACATAAAATTATTGTTGCACTCTTGGTGGGGTATGTCCCTGCGTGAGAAAAATTACGATTACGTATATTCATTCCTTTCCTCCAATCCAGTGGCGCCACCCTAGCTGGACGGCTGAGTACATAGCGAGGTTTCTGTGATAAATTATAAAACCTTCCCTTAGGAAGATAATTAACCAACGACCGAATGAATTAAATGTTAAACAATTCCGCTCTTAGCTGACTATTATAAAACTATTATATATAAAATTCAAATATTATACGTTATATTTTTCTGAAAATAATTAAATTTACATCCTAAATTTGTATTCTCGTTTACTTCCATGTTTACGTTTTTCTCCAATAACAAAGGAATTGGTGTAATAAATTTAGAATGGCAAGGGGTTTCAAAATGATTTGTGAAAGTTGAGTGCCGAGGCAGTGCCAAAAGCAGAAATTGCCAGTCCGACAAGTGAGTCTCTCTTTTCATTTTGAATCAAAGCGCATCAAAGCATTCATCGATACTTGAAAAAGAGAACTCGCTATTGTATTCCGCTTGTATCACGATTATTAAGCATGTCAAACAGCTGGGTCCAATAAAAAAGCGTCACCATGTAATCCTCGATCGAATCATTTGCAAGAGAGAAAAAGTGAACGAGAGAGAGAGAGAGAGAGAGAGAGAGAGAGAGAGAGAAGAAAGAAAAGAAAGAAGAACGAACGAACAACGAACGAAC